GTCACTTGCATATCATACATTATCTTTTTTAATTGACTGTGTACATTGGGATGCATGATAGAATAGCAGAATTTCCCTTCACCACCACCATCATTAATATCCCTTTCTTTGCTTGCTGCAAATGAAGTTGTAACTTTAATTGACCTGTCTACGGGAACCCTAAAACTTGGGTTGTTGCCGATTAAAATCAACTTGGTGTATATGTGAAATTGGGATACTTTGCCCCAGTGAGTATCATGGCAAATTTCAATTACTATTTTGTTACCAATTATCCTAGTTTAGATACATCCTTTTAGGGTTACATCATTGTGTTAGCATCCAGAATAATTAAGTACCAGCAAGGCCATTTTTAATGTGAAAGACCACTAATTCCAGTATAGATCCTCAGGCAATTCCACTGTTTACATTTTCTGTTGTGAAAATTGTCCCCCCCCCCCGCCGCATGCCTCTTGTCATTTAGCTTTTTTTAGGCACAGGTTATTGAACTGTGCATCTTACTGAACACTTTTATAAGCATTTGTGTGCTTTAAGGTTCTTTACATAATTGACCATACATCTATATCAATATGTTCCATAATGACTACCTGCCAAAGTACATAACTAAAACCATTGTAATGAGTGTGAAATTATGTTCATTCATTGCACTCCTTTGTACATGTGTGCCTGATCCAGCTCTTGTCACGTGTACTATAATACTTAAATAGACTAATTGTACTAGAATGCTGGTTTCCAAAAAGTCATCTCATTGAAAGCAGTGCTGTCTCATTGGATCCACGTTTGAACATGCATTCCACTGTACACTTGAACGTTCGTCCAGATAATAATTGTCTCATTTTCATGTGCATTTTTTTCCCTAGCCTAGCATCCATCTGCCTTTGTAGTGCAGATTGACACCTTATAACTATAGTTGGCAATGCTTCACATTTAGAATTAAAGTTAACCCCTTTCTGTGTCACCTCCAGTTTCAAAGCCAGCTTTTGTTTAAAAGTTCTATACATACTTATGCCTTTGCATGTAAGTATATACATGTAAGTATAAGTATATTTGTACTTATGCCTCTACATTACCATTCTCTATTGCTTGATGGGAACCTATGCTGAAACCTGATGCTAAATATGACCATATTTGGGACAGCAGGAATACGAAGTTGAATACAGTGGTTGATCTGCATGAGAATCTGATGGTTTTTGTATTTTATTTATTTCTGTATGTTCTTGCATCCATGTTTGCACATTTCTTACCATAAGGACTGAGATATGAAGAAATTTTAAGCATGCACAGTGGGGTATTTAGTATGTTTTTACTTCGAATAGGGGCCCTTCCCATGTAATAATCATTAACTTCTTTTGAAAAGCCTCTCTGTAATGAAGGCTGAGATCTGTTCTTCGGGAACCACGTACTCTGTATTCTGTGTTCCTCTGGTTACTGAGAAATAATTGTATATCCTTTGGATCTCATATCCTGTAGGATCACAGATACGTATCCAATGCTGCAGAAAAGAAGTGGGTGGAGAGATCTTGATACATTTCCACAAAGTAACTAGATCAACAAATGGATTTACCTACAGTTGGGCTTGTTTTTAAAAAAAAAATACAAGAGAGGAGTGGGGTTATGGAAAGCAGACAACAATACCAGTGCTGTTTAGCTTTTTATATTTATTATTGCAAAATAATAGTTGAAAATTACTTGCTTAGATCAGAAAAAGGCAAATAAATCCCAGCATGCTGTAGCCAGCATGGAGCATATGCTGGGATTTATTTAATGGTTTACACCATTAGCATCGGTGGGATATTTAGGTTGAAATCCTATACAGTGGGATTTACCTGTGAGTAAACCCCACTGTACTCAGTGGGGCATATGCCTAAAGATTGTGTTGCCTGCTTCAATCCTATAATATTTATTTGAGGGTCAGTCCCACTGAGGTCTTGCTTCTTTCTTCCAGGTAAGAATACATGGAACTTCTGGTAGTTTATTAACATATTCTCCTAAGGATTTTTTCCCCAGTTACAAGTAATGCCACAGGAGGCTAGAAGGGGCCTGTGCCTCTTGGAAAAACTGCCTCCTCCTTCACATTGTTTAGCTCTCAGCAGGTCATGAGTGCAAAAGAGAACTTATTCACTTAAAATATATGTTTACCAATTTCCCTTCTCCTTTATTCTTCCTATTAATGTCACTGTTGCATGCTGTAAAAATCTTAATTGAATAGGTTCAGGAAAGCTGTTACAGAGTCATTTAAGACAAACCAATTAAATTCAATTACATGCCCATGTCACTGATTTCACATAAGTACTGAGAATTGCTGCCTTATGGCTGGTTTACTCATAACAAATGCCACATGGTGGCTATCACCAAACAGTGAACTGGTAGTTCATGTGCAGCAGCTTATCCTAGGAATTACAGTAACTGACTTGTGTTCTTTGTGCAACTACAAGTGCACCCCAAAACCTCTACAGTTACATAGAGAAAATGGATCCAATCTGCATGAAGAGCTGTTGTACAAGTGATGATAGTTGTTTGTTGTTGTTTTTTTAATAAGCCTCCACAATGGTAGTTGCGGGCTTGGACACACAGCAGTTCGAGTCTCTCCCTTATTGTGCTAAATATGGGAGAATGTAACATGACATAGAATTAATAAGTGTTCTCAAACTATTTAATGTTGGGTCACAACAGAATAATTTAGGTCAGAATGCTACTGTCTTTCTCATGTACGGTATAATTAAATTAGCTTTTCTTTTTTTTTAAAGATTTGAGCAACCTACTCCACAAGCAAAGGTTGCATGTTGCAGGTTTTGTAATTTTGCTAATGTGTATGATCTCACTTTTACCATCCAGGAAGACAAAATATAAATGACTGTTCTACACTAATGAAGAGGAATGGGGGGATTAGAGACAATCCAAATTGCCTCTATTTTAGTAAGCTAAATGTAAAATTTAGCTTTGTAATGTAAAATATGTACATTGATTATGAAAAATGATACCTTTTGAGATAAAAAGAGTCAGTTTTCAACAAGCACGTTTTTAAAAGTTTTCATTTGTTCTAGGAGTTTTGTTCCCTGAGGGAGCATTCATCTGTCATATGACCTGGAAAAGGGGATCTTGCTCAGCTCACAAACTCTCTCTCTTCCATATATGAAAGAAGATGCAGCTCTAAAGCATTCACTCTATTTTGCAAGGTAGAATATCAGGTAAAAATTTCAAAAGCACTTAAGTTACTTGGGAACCTGCATCTCACTGAAGGTGTGGAATGCAGACAAGGAAGGCCACAATTATCAAGTTACTTGCTTTGAGGTTGTCCTGTGACCATCTATGGGACTGCTCTGTAGTAAGTTCTGTGAGAATTGGAGCCTAAGTTATTTATGTGCTTGTGAAAATTTTACTCTTAAGTCTTTGTCTACATCTCAGACAGTGTGCAATCTTATGCATGTTTAGGCAGAAAAAATGTTTCAACTCGCAGCATTCTCCAGCCAGTTGTAGGATTGTTTCTGCCTAAACATGCATAGAATTACACCTTTCTTAGGTTTAACCATCATTCTCTGTATCAAGGGAACTGTACAGCTGTGAATGGAGCTAAGGATCTTGAACAGGCATCTGTACAGTTCCTAGGATTCTTAGGATGATACCTTGATAGATAAACCAGTATAAAAAGCCTGAAAGTGGATAGTTTGAATATAGTAAAAGTTTGCACCAACTAAACTGGCTTCCTTTCTCCCTCTCTCTGTCTCTCAGTCTCTCTCTGTGTGTCCATCTTTCATAAAGCACTCCATTACAGACAGCTTTCTGTCGCTAAGAGAGCAATCCTGTGGCCTCGGGTCAGCATCTGGGGAACCATAGGATGCTGTGGATCTCTTCCACACCTGTAGACAGAGTAATGAGTGTGGAGAAGGAGATCCATTTGAAGAAGGAGACCTTCCCTCCCCCTCCCCACTCACAGCCATCACTGAAAGCTTCTCTTAGGAAGCTGCTACCTTGTAAGAGAAGTTGGGAAGAGAGAGAAGCAGTGAGAAGAGAGGCCAGGATATTCATCATTGTATGACATCTCCCCGCCCCTCCCAAGCAATTGAAATGTAAATCAGATAGATGGGCCCAGAGGCCCAGCTAGTTGGATTTTGTCTTTTAAACAGACAACTAAAATGAATGTCCTCTTTTTCCTTCTGCCTGGGTTTTGCTGGCAGGACATCAGATAAGCAGAGAGCTCCAACCGCAAAGTCCCCATAGAATCGTGCTCCTAATATTGGGCAGTATTTTTAGTGCTACTTTTTTGTCTTCGTTCCACTGCAGGTTTCTTTCTGTGTCATTTTAATATTCAGTGGGTTGCTGAATGCCCATGATGTTGCTGAAGCTAAACATGTATTGAGAATAATTTGGTCAGGATTGTAATGGGAAGCTGCTTGAAAAACCAGGTTGTAGGTGAAATAAATACATTTTGAGCTCTTGTTGCATCTAAGAATTGCTTATATTTTATTTATTGCACTTATGTAATACATTTCTGTCAGTGCCATCAAAGGGTTTTCTTTAATGGTTTACCATCTGAGATGATATAAGGAAGATATCTTTCAGTCTTTCAGTAACATCCAGTAATTCCTTTTCTTTTGATACTTTAGAAACAAACCTTATTTATATGTACATATTGTTCTTCCCAGTTATATCCTGTTTGAGTTAGTTTCATAACTTCATTTTGCTTTGGTAAGTCAGGTGAAATTGGAAGTCACAAGCAAGACAGGTATAGTACATATGGCAGTAAGATTCTAAAAAGTAAAAAGGTGCTTGGGAAAAGGATTTAAATAAGCCAGCGGGTATGGGGCGGTGGTGGAGACTGTGACTGAATTCTTGTTTTGGCTCCATGAGGCTGCTAAAAGGTATATTCCTCTCTTCTTTCTGCAGGTGGCGTGATTGCTTACATCAGCTCTTCAAGCTCAGCATCTAGCCCTGCCTCATGTCACAGTGAGGGCTCAGAAAGCAGCTTCCAGTCCTCTTCTTCGCCCATACCACCATCACCAAACAGTTCCTCTTCCGAGGGCAGCTGTAAGAGCAAGAGCAAAGAGAACTGTGATGGAGCACCAAAGTATCACCAGTTAAATGACCATATTAAAGCAAACCATTCAAACATAACTGGATTGGCCAAGGGTCATAGAGGACTTACAAGTAAGTATTCTCTTTGAGGAGGCCCAATTTCACTTAGGCTCATTTCAGACATCATGTTTCCTAGGCTGTAGTTGGGAATGTACCCAACTCTCCTTCCTCTTCTTTTTTTTCACATGTGGAGTCCTCTACCTTTACCACACTTTGCTGTAATGTTTGCACTGGGGCTGATCAGGGACCCTCAAGTCAGGGTTTGGAAATCCACTGGAATGCAATCCTGATTTGCATTATTTAGTCCCAGTTAAGACATAATGGCATATATGGCTATAATGGGCCATAAAAGAAAGTGGCGGGAGGAGGAATGCTGCGTGCTAAATTTCCAGTCTCCAAACATGGCTGAACTGACCCTTAGTATGTCCACATTGAATTGGAATGATATTTTTCTGAGGCCTGGCGGCATCCTCTGCCTGGAGCCTGGAGAGCTCCGCTTTCAGCTTTTAACCTCTGACTTCCTTCCTTCTAGATAGACGGTAGCTCTGGTACCAACTTCTGGCAAACTGGAGCTTCTGTCTCACACTGCACAGTGGTGCCAACAGGCCATGCTGCCCTGTGGTCCACAAGTAAGTTTGAAGTCAAGACATCCTAAAATAACTCCCAGATTTATTATCCAACTTAGAAAGCAGTGTTCCCCTTTTAAGTCCACATATATTTCCGATTGTGCAAAGGTGCCTTTTAAATAACCACACTTTTTGTCATTGTAAGTAGCAAATGAAATACTGATGCGGAAGTGTGTAAAATTTGATGGTCCTGTAGATCATTAGTAGGGCAAGCTTACAAGTTCCCAAGACTTACATAAATAAGAACTCCTCACCAGTGGGGCAAAGTTGGCCATGATAAATGCTCTTCCTTGTTTGAGCTTTGAAGGTGGTATTGTCATTTCAAAATAAAAGCAACACAAAAGTATGTTTTATGGATCCAACTCATTTTGTAACTTCTCAGTGACACTACTTCAGACACTTCTGCACTTGTGAAGAATCACTGTAACAAGAAAGCCTTTCCCCTTGATTTTGTAAGATTTTGTACTTACCTAGAGTGCAAGCAATTTTCTTAAATCTGATAATTTTGCATTTGTATCTCAAGCTTCTGTTGGAGTTATTGCTGTGAAATATGTAGAGCTGCTACCATTACTCAGCAACAGAGTTGTCGTCTTATTTCCGGTTACCTGAAAGTCAGAGAACCCAAACCGTTTAACTGGACACACCAAAGAGTGAGGGTGGGGCCTTCTCACACATGTAGTGGAAATGCTGTACTACTGGGCAATGGACTGAGGCTTTATATTACATAATGGCAAGTTCACAATATTGGATTTTTAAAAAGCTAATCTGCAATCCCATTAAGCATATATGCATACTTACACATATAATAAGATGTATTCGTATTTTACTAGGTATTTGTGAAATAAAACTTTAATTAAGTGCATTAAACTTTATTACACTGGTTCAGAAGTAATAGGACATGAGAAGCATCAGGTGTAAGCCCAATTATTTTACTAACTGCTACTAAATAGCCCACTAAAAACACATCCCTGTCTTGCCTAACCATTCCTAGGTATCCATATTTGTGTTTTCTAATAGTTCAATAGTGATGTGATCATTCATTAGTTATTTTTGCATGTTTCTGTTGTGTTTTTCCCCTGAAAGGCCAGCAGAGAGCCAGTGTGGTATACTGGTTAAGAATGCATGTCTGGGACTCAGGTGATCTGGGTTCTAGTCCTCAATGAACTGTTGAGCTCACTGGGTTATTTTGGGCCAGTTACAGACTCTCAATCCCAGCTACCTCACACAGTTGCTGTTGTGAGGTTAAGATTGAGAGGAAGAGAATTATATAATCCATCTTGTGTTCTTTGGAAGGAAAAATATGGGATATAAAGCCAGAGAACTAGAAATTATTTTTCTTGATTTTGCTTAGCAACCAAGTAGTTTCTTTCTTTCATTGTTAGTTCTTTAATTTTCTGCTACTTAGAACCTTTCAACACAACTCATGGATAACTATCCATCAGTTGTAAACTAAACAACAAGTTGAGTGTTTTTTTACTTTTGTTGATGTTTTAAGTTTGTGTGTGTGCGCGCGCATGCATGCGCCTTAATGCGTGTTTAGCAGTAAAAAGGTTGTTCTGGTAAGCAGTCCCCAAAAGAATGCTTTGGGAATTAAATTTCATCCAAACAACGTGACAGTTCACATTTGAATGCTACGCACTCATGCCAGCATGTTTGCTGGATTGGCACCAACGTAATATCACTGCAGCGCTGATATTGTTCTATTGGTCTGTGACAGAGAGCAGATGTATCTATAGGAGCGCTTTGCTAAATAATGTTGTGTTTGTGCAGCTAGTATTAATTACTGTGTGAGAAATGTGCATACTGTCCTGAGACAGGTTGAAGGCAGAAAAATATGGAATGTAATTTAGAGAGAGCCAGTTTTGGACAATGGGTTCCAACGTTTCTTGATATGGCGGTAAAGGTCATATGTGCTGGGGCATTTCTAGGGTGGCAACTTGCTCTTCTTCCATAGGCTTTCCAGAGTGGTTGTTACAGGCCAGCCTTCCCCAAACAGGTGCTCTCCAAACTACAGCTCCTATCACCCTTACCCAACAAGTCCATTGGGTTGCGCTGACTCAGGATGAATGCAACTGTAGTCTTGCACATCTGGAGGATGCCCATTTGGAAAAGGTTGTCCTAGGCTAGAAAATCTCAGGTGAAAAAAACTCCATCATCCTAAATTAATCACTGAACCCTATCTATGAAGAACTAGATTAATGGATACCTTTGAGGAAACATGTCAAATTCTATTTTTGACATCCCTTTTTGTCTAGAGTAAACCCTTCTGAATTTTCCTTACCAAAAATAATGTAAGACAGTACGTGCCATTCCTTTTCCAGTGTTTCTATGGGTTTTTCATGCTGCTTTTTTTCTTTGTAGAATTTAATGGTATGGTCTTACTGTGTAAAGTCTGTGGAGATGTTGCTTCAGGATTCCACTATGGAGTACACGCCTGTGAGGGCTGCAAGGTAATGGATATTATTTTCTAATCTAAATAGTTCACCAGTACATTTAATGCATAGAATTTCCAAGTTAAGTAGAATTTCGGATGTTTTCCTTCCACTAAATCCTTGCCTTAGAAACTTTCAAATATTCAGATTGTCCTAAATACATTGCATTATTATGGAATTTCTTCCTCTTTGGAAATCCAGTATGTTTAGGTTGAGGCAGGGCTCTTGAGGCTTGTGTAAGTATATGACTCCTGCTGTCTTTGCTGCTGTTTGGATTGTTTGTTTTTTAATCACAGCTAAATTTCATGAAACTTCCTTGTTTCTGTGTTACAAATGCAAATTTCTGTTGATGAGGCATGCTTTCAAACTGCTGGCAAAAGATGTGAAAAGTTGCTTGTTCTTTTCAGGGCTTTTTCAGAAGAAGCATTCAGCAAAATATACAATATAAGAAGTGCCTGAAGAATAATAACTGTTCTATAATGAGAATGAATAGAAATAGATGCCAGCAGTGCCGATTCAAAAAATGTTTGTCAGTCGGGATGTCAAGAGATGGTATGTTTCTGTATTGAGCAGTGACCTTCAAAAAGGTGAATTGTTGTACTTTTTGTATCTAATTTAAATGGAAAACTTATAAATGCTGGTATAAAGTAATGGTAAAGGGTGTGAACTGCGAATCAGGCCTCACCTCAGCCAAGAACTCATGTAGTGTCTCAGTGGCAAGCCATCATTCTTGCAGTGTCCACCCCCGATGGGGGATAGTACTAGCCAACCCTGCTGGGCTGTGGTAAGGAATACTGAGGTAATGTATGTGATGTATGGTAATGATATCTGGATTGGCAAGATAAACTGATGAGAATAAGCATAATTTAAATGAGCAGTATAAGGAATTATACAGTAATATACATTAATTTCTAAGGAGGCAGAGGATTCTTATGGTAGCTAAGCACATGGGAACCAGCCTACAGTTGAAGGGGCAATGTTTCCCATGTCCTCATGGCAGCTCAACTCATCCTGATCCCATCTTCCTCCTCGCAAAAGAGCTGATTCTTATTTCCTTCCAGCTACTGTACCCAAATGCACTCTTCCCCCACCTGGTGTGCTTCAGATAACATTGAGCTCTAGCTCCCATTCCAGTTAGGAATTATGGGAATTGCAGTCCAGCATATCTGGAGAGCACTGCTGTACTAACTTCCAGCCCTCCTTGAGCTGTCGAAATAAGCAGCCCTGGCTTCCGTGCTCTGAGGGGATGGCCTGTTTCCAGTCAGCTGCAGGCATATGATGTTCCTTGCTGCTTCCTCTCTCTCCTCACTCTCAGCCCAAAAAGGACTTCTGCGCTGCCTTCTTGTTTGTGTTTATGGGAAGCACAGAAGCCATAGCAAGAGTTCTATCTCTTGGAGCTGTGCAAATGTTCTGTAGGTAGACCTAAAAAGAGAGTACTATTTTAACCTCCCTCCCCTTGCCATGGGTTTTCATCTCTGCTGCTTTCAGGTTTAATTGAAAAATTACTTAGGCTTAAATTAGCAGCTTGCTGAAGCCCAGCAAAATCTCCCCATCTCCAGTACTGCTGACTTCCTCCATCCCCTCTGTACCTTTATATAAATAGGTTTTGAATTTTTCATTGTTTCAAAGGCAGCTTGCCACTTCGTAAGGAAGAGTCCTTTGGAGAGAAATACTTTTTCTTGATGTCAGAAATACATTTTCTGGTTTGATCAGTGGCATGTGTTTTTGTGAGTGGGGAATGGCAGGTTTGTCATAGCATTTCTGCCAGACTTGGGCATGTGAGTGTGTAACTAAAACTTCCAATGTTCTTCTTGGTAGCTGTTCGATTTGGTCGGATTCCTAAACGAGAGAAGCAGAGGATGCTGATTGAAATGCAAAGTGCCATGAAAACCATGATGAGCACTCAGTTCAGTGACCACTTGCCTAGCGAGGTGTTGAAAGAGAGCCAAGAACCATTACTCCTGCTGCCTCAGGAAGAGCTGAACTCCAAATCACAGCAAGAGCAAGAAAATAACAACAGCCCATCTTCTCCTGCTCCTGTCCCCCCTCCCCCTCTTCCTCCCTCCCTCCCCTCTGACATGGCCAAGGAAGAAGTGATTGGCATGGTGACTCGAGCCCATAAAGATACTTTCATGTACAACCAGGAGCAGCCAGAAAGTCCTCCCATAGCTGTGCAGCCCCAGAATGGGGAAAGAATTCTCAAGTACCCGGAGCCATATCATTCCGGTGGTAACCCTGACAGTAGCAGCATGAGCAGCCGCCACCATGGTGGGAAGGAGCAACATTTCAATGGACAGTACAAAGGGCAAAGCAGCATGTATTATCCAGATGGGCATCACCTTTGCTTCACAAGCAGCCATTCTATGAACTTGACTGATGGCCTCATCTTAAAAGGTTGCAATAGGATGCCCAGAAATGGTTTTTCTCCAAATGGATCTATGAATGTTTACAATTGCAGCACTGGAGGCAGGATGCATCTGGTACTATAACTGTTCATTTATGTTGTCAAATAGTAGTTGCCCCACTCCTCTGCTTCTCTGTGATGACACTGAGATCAGGCAGTTCCACTCCTGTACTAAATGAACAATGGTTTAATTTATTAACCTAAACCTTGGCAAATGGTAGCAAATCACTGAGAGCCAGTTGGCATAGTGGTGAGAGCACCAGGACTCAGAAGATCCAGGTTCTAGGCCCCACTTAACCATGAGGCTGACTGGGTGCTTTGGGCCAGCCATGGACTCTCAACCTAGCCCATCCCACAGATGGGTTGTTGTGAGCATACAGTGAAAGGAAGGGAGAGCTATGTAAGCCACCTTGGATTTCCTGCAAGAGGAAGGAAGGTTGACTATAAATGTAATGGAATAGTGGCCTTATCTGTGTTAGCTGAAACAAGCTAACTTTGAACCACAGTTTATGAAGCCTGGTTGTTTCAACTAACCATAGTTAATAGCTAAAGTTTGTATATGTTTAGTGGATGTAGCAAGCTGCAGTTAATGTAAAATGTAAATAGAAGCTTCCAAGTTCCTTGTAGCTATTCTAGAGGATCTGGTGCACAAACCATCTGGGTTATTTTCACAATAGTAAGCTATGCTTTTTTGCTACATGTGAACCAAACCACTCTAATCTCTGTGCTGGAAAGAAGAGAGATTCTGTCACTTATTTTAATGACTATGCAAAAGCAAAATCGAGAAATACATTCATATTAATTTTCCAGGCTGCATAATACCAGCAGAATTATGACTTGTGCCACATTTCAGAGGGAGCAATAATGAGTATGTTTGTGTTCTGCTTGGAAAATTACCACATTTAGAGAAACCGGGTGTGGCACAATCTTAAGGCACTCTAGCTCCCACAGCCCATAAATTCATTTAAAGAAATCATTATGAAATTTAGTCAGTGGCTAATAGAAACTAATTAGCACTCAATGAACTGATAGGGACTGTTTTTACTGGAAATGGACAGTGATCAGACCCATGGTATTTCTGCTTATGACACCTTAAAGTCTGGCATGTGCTATGTTCTTTTATATAGAATAGAAAAAGGAACAGAAAAAAAGTACATGATAGCATATTTTATGTAAGCATATCCAAAATTATTTAAGCCCCAGTGGTAAAATATTGTCAGTATTGAGGTAAACTGGGACTAATTGTGCAAAAGGACAATAATGAGGTTCATCCACTGTTACATGCAAAGTAAGGTCATGCTTTCCTCCAAACATATTGCAGTGAAGCAAAACTACTACAACAGCAGCTATTCCAAATTGCAAAATGCCTGGGTTGTCATATAAGGCTGGGGATTTGCTTATGTGTAATTTAAATGGAAAATTTGCTGTAAATGGGAAACAACTATTAGCTTTAGTTCCTTTTAGGAGAGACTTTTCACTAAATTAAACTGTTGCTGCTGTTGTTACCTTGCATTGATATCCTATCTTCCTGCATTGTCCAGGAAACACACCCAAGTTTAATTAATGTCTAGTATTTTTTAGACATAATAAGTTTTACTAGGAGCAATTTTGGAGCAAGGAGCAAGTTTACTAGGAGCAAGTTTTACTAGGAGCAATTACTTTTGTTGTAATTTGTTGTATCGCCAGTATGAGGGCCTTTGAAAATGTGAAACTGCTTGGGCAGTTTGTTTTGAATAGAATTTTGAGCCCTTGTATGTGTAAATATCTAGGTTTGCCCGATGAACAAGACTCCTTTTGTGGACCCAAATAAATCTGGTCATGAAATCTGGGAAGAATTTTCCATGAGCTTCACCCCTGCAGTGAAGGAAGTGGTGGAGTTTGCCAAACGTGTTCCAGGCTTCCAAGATCTTTCTCAGCACGACCAAGTAAACCTCCTAAAGGCTGGAACCTTTGAGGTGAATATTTTGCTGAATGCTTGCAGTATAAATATGTTCTGTAAGATGCTATATATAATAGGTTGAGTCTCAACTTGGTCATATCTGAAGCAAACCAATTTGAAAACAAAGCTTTAATTCACTTGTGACTGACTTAACCTCCATTCACTACTTTTGCCCAGTCTTCCTATTATTCCTACAGAATATCAGAAGGTTACTTATTGGCTAAGCTAAACATTGTGGTTGCCAGCCTTTCTCTTGAGAAAGGTTAGCAGGGTGACGGGAGAGAGTGTGAGTTGCTGGTTTATAAAGCTTTAAATGGTTCCCTCATTCAGATTGCTGTCTACTGCCTTTGCATCGAAATGCAAGAATGCATTCTTTTGCTTGTGTCAGATTACATCGCTGTAGAAATTTCCTGTTACACTTCTTAACTCACTTGCCAAGAAACAAACCCCACAGAGCACAATTGCACTTAATTTTAACCACACAGGACTGGAGTATTCAATTTTTAGGTGTCACAGGTCTCACTGTTAACAGCATAGGATGGCTGTTCCTTAAAAACAGGAGCAGTGGACTCTTGAATAGTTTGTAGTAGATCAGCAAGAGTTTCTGACTCCTAATCGTTTAGCATCCTCTGAATTGCCCCCTACCAAACTTAAATTTAGAAATGTTTTAATAAATAAATAAAATAAATAAATTAGGCTATGAGACAAACAAAAATTTGCAGGTCATCGCAAGCTGTATATCTTGAGCTCTTGTGTTCCCCAGATATAAAATGGGACTTTATGTTTAAGAATGGTGACATGCATTGCTTTTCAGTGGGCACACTTGTGCGAGTCATTTAGCTCCTAGCTTCAGTGTTCATTATAGGTAATATATGACTAATTTGTTCTTTTTTTTTTTTTTAACCAAATCATTATGTGGTTTCACTGGTACAGATTAAGAGCTTTGGGCTAGAATTCTTGATCTGTAATAACACGGACATGGATTTGTATTGGTATATGCAGATTATCTGACAAATTAGCTGGAAAGGTACAGTAGGCTATCAGCTCCACTCTGAGATGCCCATTTTTGTCTTGATTCTGCTCTAGGCACTGCTTTTCTGGACTTTAGTACTGCAGGAGAAAAGAGCAGTTTTCACATTCTTGATGCCTGCTCACCCTGCCTTAGGATGAATTCAAGAACCTTTTGTGACTGCTAGCATCCTCTAACCCCCTTTCTCATTTCCACTCCAATTCCACATTAGCAAAATACTTTTTCAGAAAGTGAAGAGTTTTGAATTGAAATAATGATTGCATTCAGAAACAGAAGGTGCATGAATATTCAGACAGGAAATAACAGAAGCATAATAGGGAAAGCAGTGCTCCTTATCTCTGGTACTCCTTTATAGACAACCTTATTTGCTTTGTTTCTTGAAGGCTCTGTTGTATGAATGAATGAGTGAATTTCATCATTATGGGTGGGAAATTCTTAGTCGGTGTGTAGCTCTGGAAAATTGTGGAGAATGTCTATGAACAAGCCAGTGATATAAATGTAGCTGGTGTCTCTGAGCCAGAAACAGTCTTGCACTGATGCAAGTGCCTTCCCACAGTATTTTGTGAAAAGACTAGTTTCCTTGTGCAAGTCTGCCGGATGGCTCTTGAGTCACCGCACTATTTTCAGGATCGAAGAGAGAACATTTCTTCTCTAGCCCTGAGCAAATATATCAGTTTGATACCTGTCAAATAACACAAGTTTTGCAGACTTTACACAATCAGTGTACAGAGTTGCACACTAGGTTCATTTCTCCTGAGGTTTCAACAAGTAATTTTCCTTTGGTAAAACAAACTGTCTTTTCTTTTGATCAGGTTTTAATGGTACGGTTTGCATCTTTATTTGATGCAAAGGATCGTACTGTCACCTTTCTTAGTGGAAAGAAATACAGTTTGGATGATCTGCGTTCAATGGGAGCTGGTGATCTCCTCAACTCCATGTTTGAGTTTAGTGAGAAGCTAAATGCTCTGAATCTTAGTGATGAAGAAATGAGCTTGTTTACAGCGGTGGTCCTTGTGTCTGCTGGTAAGAAAACAGTGTTATGCCTGTACCAAGGAATAAAGTTCCCTTGTTTTGCTTCAAACCAAGCCAAACCTCTGGAATGCCTTATGAGAAAATGTTAAGAAAGTCTGTCAGCATTGTCATATTCTCAAACAGGCTATAAAACTTGGCTGTTTTTCCAAGTCTTTACAAGGACAATCCTGTGGCCAATAGATGTCGTCTGGCTGGCTGTAGGGAAAAGGGGAGTCCCGCTGCAATCATGGGAAAGTCTCTCACCAGTGCAGATTTTAGCCGTGCGAACTGAGGTCCAAAGTCAGAAGACCATCTTCACCACAGGGGCTGGGGGCTGGGGAGGAGGGGCAAGACACTGCTGATGCCTGCCAAATCCAAGCAGTGCCTCAGTCCTCCTCCTGGGAGGGGGGTGGCGACATTAAATGGCCAAAAGCAGCCAGCTAAATGAAAGCTGGTGAAGGGGGTCACAGCAGTGGTCCTAGCAGCCATGCTTAATAGGTTGCCCATAGCCTTCTGAGTTCAGAAATTCATAGGCAGCCTTGTAGGCCTGCATTGCAAGTGAGGGTTCCTGTTTCCTGTGTCTGTTTCTGCTATATGTGACTTTATCCTTGCCTTATGATCACTCTTTGACTTGGTGATCATAAGGCAAGGATCATAAGGCAACTACTTCAGACTCTGTGAAAAAGTGGTACAGTATGTAAAACAGACATAGATGGTGAAAAACTACAAACTGTCAATATAGATACATTCACAGTTTCCAGTGAAAGCTCACCAAACAAATTCTGTATGTGAAGTGATCTATGGCAGTGAGCTTCAGCTGCTAAAATGATGGCTAAATGGTGGTGCCGTGTCCTTAAATGGAGCAGGCCCCCTTTCCCTTCGCTTACCATGACATCTCTATTGGTACAAGTAACAGGACTCTTGCACTGGCTCATAGGCTACCAAGCAAGGGAGCACTGCAGATACTCCTGGGGGATGGTTTTTGATCTAATTTTGTTCCCCTGCTCACAAAGAGGAATGGGGGAGCCCTCACCAGAGCTATTGGATCATAATTCAAGTGCCACCTACTCTTGAGACGATATTAATTTTGCTTTTCTAAGGATTACAATATGGTGGTGAAGTGCTTCACTAAACTGGCACTCATCTGAGAGCCAGTGTGGTGTAGTGGTTAAGAGTGAAGGACTGGGACTCCAGTAGACCTGGGTTCTAGTCCCTGCTCAGCCATGGAGGTCCCTGGGTGACTTGGGCCAGTCACAGACTCATAGCCTAAGCTACCTCATAGGGCAGTGGTAGTTCTGATAAGGTTGAGAGGAGGAGAATTGTGTAAGCTGCTTTGAGTTCCTTGAAAGAAAAAAGTAGAATATAAATATAAAGTAAGTAAGAATGTTAGCATATAGGTTTACATCCGTCTCACTTATGTTGGTTGTTTACTGTATGTATGTCCTTTCTGAACGCCTATCTAGCAAGACATATGTTTTGATGAATAGCTGAGTGTATTCTTGAATTCGTTAGTGACTATTTAACAGGGTCATATTTTGCAGACTAAGTCACCATCTCTCTCCCCCATTATCTTTTGTTTAGAGCGATCAGGAATAGAAAACGTTAACTCTGTGGAAGCACTGCAGGAAACGCTCATCCGTGCACTCAGGACCTTAATCACGAAAAATCATCCAAACGAAGCTTCTACATTTACAAAACTACTTCTGAAGCTGCCTGACTTGCGTTCTTTAAACAACATGCACTCTGAGGAACTTCTAGCCTTTAAAGTTCATCCATAGGCATTTACCTCTTATTTATATAATGGACTTGCTTATTGTTAATTCACTGTGTGTCTGTTGTGCTGAAATGTTTATTTATGTTTGTATGTATCTCTTGTGAAGAACTCGCTGACTCCGTGTGATGGTTAGATGTTGAGTGGTCATGCAGTAATGCTTCAAGTTGAACATTTTCCCACCAGTGAAAAGGACCACAGATTTTTTCATGATTATCTAAACTAGTCCATTTGCACTAAAGTTGAACAAGTACACTACATCTTATGGTCACTGACCTTTAAGTACTGTGCCCCTACAACAAAAAAATACTAATTTTCTCTGTTTTAAGGAATGAACATAAATGCACAATGGCTACATGTGGAAGAAAGAGGATATGCAAATAACACTGCAATGACTGAAAAAAGATTTAATTGGGGTGTTTGTCATTGTCTCTCTGTTCTCCCTCCCCTGTTTGAGCTCATCTCAGCAGGGTAGGAGGCTCTGAAAATCTGTCTGTAGTTTCGCAATTCTCATTCAAGGAAATGCCATGGGACGTCTTAGTGTGTTCCCACTCAGTTGCTCTAAATGACTCGTGTGCTGTGTATGGAGATATGAACAGAGATGTTGGGTGCGTAATATACGTTGTGTATGTACATATTCATGTGTATGTATATAAATAGCTTTCCATAAGCAACAGACCTATATCTTCACAATATTTTCAAGTGTGAAGAAGTTAACCAAACAAAAGATGACCCATGGGAACAACCAGATTGATGTATTTGGTTGTCTACTGTTAACCCTTGAGACACCATAATGTTTAGAGAATTGCATGTTAACATTGATATGTGGAAAATCTATTAAATACTACATCACCAAAAGTGTATGGAAGATAAAACCTCTAAAGGAAGGAAAGGTATTAGACTAGGCTGATTTTTTAAAAAGTCATTGAACCTGAGATATCTTAGTGCCTAATGGGCATTTAAAACTGCTGGAAACATTCTAAAAGGAAACTTTAAAGCATCATTATAGTGCTTTAAAACTCAAATTATATTAATTTTTGTTGCATATTTGTGTGTGTTCTGTGAATCACTTTGCACTACACTTATATGCTTCTTGAATGTTACATAAGATGACACAATATTTGTGTCACCCCCCCCCAGTTGTCAGAGCTGATTTGTTAAAACTTTTTTGCTGTACACAAGAAAGGTCTTCTGCATTGTCTAATATATCTGTTTTCTATAAATGTGCTTTTTTAAAAATATCAGTGACAAATTCCTAAATTCAAGGATCTGCTTTGTATCCTGCTGTATCTCAAAACATTTTCATAGAATATCTACAAAAGAAAAGGTGAAATGAATCTCCAGCTGAGCCAGAGTATTTTAACTTCATGTTTCAGAGTATGAAATGAAACATGCTTTGGTTTGGATGCAAACCTGATCATTCTTAGACTCTCTGCAAATGACTTAAGAGTGGATCAAATCCTCTGTCATCTGTCTCCTGATACAGATCAAATATTGAATTCACAGTTTACAATGTTCATATCACAACCTGGAAACAATTACATGATTGGGGAACTCCAAACCTCTCCCATTAAGGTTATGTGATGAATCATGGATTTGATAGATGTTGGTTTAGGTCTAGTTTTCACTAAACTATTGTTACTGAGAGAGTTGCCATATGTTAGTGAAGGTAGATTTAGTGCTCTGTTGTAGCATAAAGTGTGGAACGTTTTGTATTTGCTGCTTTCAAAAAAACGTGATTAGGTTCTGTCTCAAAGCAGTCTTAATTCAAAGGGGAGTGTACATTCCTTTTCTGCACAAAATGGAGGCCACTGTATTCTCATTCCTCTAGAGGAAGAGTTGCTCATTCCTGTTTCAGATGAACTATCACTTTGCCATTTTGTCAGAAGACCTTCCCTCACAGTAACACTTTTACATTTTCAAAACATAAATTGCCAATTTGGTAGGATGCATGTGTTTTTCTTAAAAGTCAAAAAAGAAAGTTGCTCTAATTCTAGGCTTCCTACAGAAGTCTCTTCCCTGTATATATAATGTCTTGACTTTTATTATTCTGGCTTTAGAAAATTATAATTAGCATTCTGCGAGATACTGCTTAAAAATCCCATGTATATATGCACATAGATTAGATTATACTGTAAAATATTCATACAATTTCATTTTAAATAACATGTTCCTGCACATTGCAGAAAAACTTTATTTTAATTACCGAATTCTAGATCCATACTCAATTTTTAGAACATCCCCTGTGTTGCAGTCTTTAAGGCCCAGTACTCCGGCTATGCTGGTGGCACCAGGATTGCTGCAGCATTATTGCTTCCCACCCTGTGGGGTGTTGGAGAGAGCTACAAAGCAGCCCTTCTTGCCATTAGCATCAGCCTCCAGGTAACTGGGATGACACTGGTGTAGAGGAGCACTGCTTTGCATAGTCCCAAGCAATGCAGAAGAGCAAGTTTCCGCTGCAGTCCCCCGTGGCCAGAGTGAACACAAGGACTAGGCCTCCATGAGTTGATCTAAAGAAGCCATTTATCATGAGCTCTGCTTTACTGTGCCACTGGTTATTCACTTGAGAAATAACAGAAATATTTCATACCAGACTGTTGAGTACTTACTGTTGATGGGGCATTGCTGAGAGATTACAAACATGTACTGTATGAACCTAAATGATTTTACCTCTGGTTTTACATGTTTTAAAAGATTAAATATGGGCATTATGTTGGCAAAGCAGACTGCTTGTCATGTGTGTTTTCCCCTCCTGAGCTTAACATTTGGAAGTGAAACTTCAAAGAAATGTGTATGCTCTACTTGGGCTTGAGTCTTGCAACAAATTTACATGTTTATTTTCAACATTCCAACATCTGGATAGAGCTTGTGTGTTAGTCTGGGCTCCAGCCATCCCTGAGCGGTCACCTTTGCAAAATCTGCTTTACTGCTTCGCAAAATCATTTTCTGAGTTTTTATTGAATGAGGAAGAAGGGGGTGCTTGCACTGCTCATGGAACCTTCCCCTTGCAAGAAATTCCAGGTTCTGTGATTCGGTAAAGACTTCTGAGTTCTGATCCAGAGATAAGGCATCCTGAAACAGAGAGATCAACTGTAACTTAAATCACAATTTAAAGTCTGGCGAGCATTTTCTTGTTCTGCCTTCCCCAACACAGTGCTTTCCCAGTGTTTTGAGCTATGATTCCCACAGTCTTGGACCACTGACCATGCCTAAGGGAAGCTGCAGCCCCAGATATCTGGAGAGCACCAGGTTGAGAAAGGCTGTTAGAGATGGTTTCCCTCCCTTTCAGGTTAATGGAGTCACTTTGCATTTTGAGTGTGTACTGGGGCACTTTTCTGAAGTAAGTGCTGCAGTGGGCCACTCACAAATTGGCTTCCAGGGTGGATGTGGCTACATCCACACACCCATTTCACAGAAAGCGAGATGGTAAGACTGACATCCTGGACATTGACTTGAATACAAGGACAAGGAGAGGTCTGAGGCCAACTCGGGTAGCTGTCCCAACTCCCTTTAGACCTCCAGGGCATTCTCAAACACCCTCAGCTTGCTTTTTTCTCCAGGTGACTAGGAACAATTCAATATGAAGCACCGGGTTGCAGTCCCTCTCCCACTTCTATGTTCTAAGAATGTCTCTGGAGCCCACATGGGCACAGAACTATTTTTGAAAATAAACCTCATGATGGACGTAAGCACTTTGTTTTGCAGTTTGCCAGCCAGGGGGCGGTGGAGCAAGGAGAGACGGAGCCTGAGGAACACCTAGAAAGATGCAGGCACATGGACACTACGTGGAGGACCATTGACTTAGCAATAGCTTGTGTCCACCCCCAAAATGGCCAGTTGTTCTATAATCTGGACAACCCTTGCAAGACAAAACCATTTCTCGGGTTGGGTGCAGGGTGGGAGGGAACCCACTCTGAAATCCCAGTTTTGCTAAGGCCGCTCTGCAATGTCTGTTTCAAAATGAAGCAAAACAAGATGCAAGACTGATCCACCACAGGAACACAGGGAGCTGCCTTGGCCTGTCCAGCTCCGGAAATCATGCGTGGACAGAGAGCACCTCTCCAGGGCTTCAGGCAGGATTTTTCCTACCTTCCCTGGTGATGCTGTGGACTCGCCAGTGACCTGCATGCAAAGCAACTGCTCTGTCACTGTGCTACTGATCCTGAATGAACATAGAAAGGAGCTTCCTTTTTTGTTTGGAAAAGTAAATTGGATACACACATTTATCATGACTCTGGTTTTGGTGTTCTAATTATATACTGAAAGCATTTGCAGAATATTGATTTTCCTTACAAACAGTAGAGGTCTCTAGAACAGAACTCTCCCTTTGCCATTGCTTATTTCAACATTCTACCTCCTTGACACATCCTAATTTACCAGTCAGCTCACATACTGCCTACCTGGTCACCATTAGAGGCTCCTCTGCATCTCTTCAGAATGGACACAGTCATGAGATACTCAGGAATCAGAATGCTGCCAGATAACTAGATTCTGTAGTGTGTGTGGCAGATGTGAAATCACATAAGCTTCATTTACACCATAACCCATGTGATGTCCTATGAGGATTTTAAAAAGGCATATTAAATGCCTTCTTGATTTGACAGGTTATCTTGCAAGATGGCATGGCTGAACTCAAGAACAAGCTGATGTGTGTGTAACAACTGTGACTGGCAGGAAACTGGCTTCGGTTTGTTAAAAGAAGCTGAGCCATCCATAAAGATGAAGGAGGAAAAACAATAGAGTCATCACCTGAGTTTAAGGAAGAGCTTCTGTTTGCAGCTTCACCTTATAGAACAATGCTGGTTTTGGCAGGGAAGAAATGGAAGCAACAAACTTTGACATATTTTGTTTAATATACGATTTGTGGGGTATTTCTCAACCCTTCTCTGCAAGATTATGTAACTGACTAGTTGGGGAGGTCTACAGAAGTTTGGGGGGAAACAAGCATCTTTTGGGCTACCAGGCCGAATCAGGGACGGTCCGGTGTTGAGCTCTTAGGATATGAAGACAACACATGGCTGCAGGCCAGTGCTTTTATCTGCAGCATGGTCGGTTTGTTGTGCCCAGAAAAGTTTCTTAAATTGCCAAAAGTGCTCCAAAAGGTTGCTTACCCCTGCCCTGGGATGTCCAGGAACAAAAGAGGACACAACTAGTGGCAGAAGAGGTGCTTTCAGCAAGTTCACAGGACATGAGAAGCTACACCTACATGAGACTACTCATTTCCGACTAGAATTCCCATTTCTACCCCAATATTAAAGGTACAGCCACCCTGTCCCCTTTGGTATCTCTCTGGAATTGATATTCTGCACTCTACTTCAGCTTTTGATTTGTTAGTTGCCTCACTCAAAGTTCTGCTTCTTGCCTTTGGCCAGGTCACAGAAATAACTTCACAATTCCGTCACAATTTTCTCATTCACTGAGCTGGTCAGAACAGGCTCTGTCAATGTCAGAGGTCCCAGTGTCTGAGGGGAGAGTGGAGAAGACTCATTTGGGCTTCAGATCTCAAATTTCAGAAAGCCCATCATAGGGAATCCCACCTAGATCCTTCCTTGCCAGTTTTTAGAACGATCCCAAAGAGCGACCTTTTTCAATATTGCAGGAGTACAGAGGCCGTATTCTGCCCACCTGAGCTCCCAGTCTGGCCTGTTGGGCGTAGCCCTCTCTTCCCCTGCCACCAAGCATTTGGTGGTTTCTCAACATTGGTTCAAATTTTGCCCCTATTTTGCTCTATTGCTCTATTTTGCTCTATTGCTTAGAGCATCTGGATGAATAGGCAGATTTACAGATGGTCAGAGTTTATTGCAATTTTCAAAGCCCTGATAAAGAGGATAGAAACCAGGTAGAAGAAGTTAATAATTATTTTCAAGATGTTAATTGAGGAAATATAGTGCTCATTGCGTGGGAGAGGAGGAAGAATGCCTTGGAATAATACCAGCCCCAGGATAGCTCTCTTCAGCCCTTTCAGATTCATCTCAACCTCAGCCCACCTCAAGGGATTAGTCTCCAATGTTTTATTGTAGCGGTCCTCCCTTTCTTCCTCTCCCTCTTTGAAGAGAGTCTGCACTTTTACAGTTGTGTATAAAAGGGTTTTCTGGCAGGACCGCCTTGCAGGCAGAGCTGGGAAGCAGGGCCAGTTGACCCTTCTTCTCCATTTGGTCTCTGTTGTGTCCATTTCATTTTCTCTTTTCCTTCCTTGAAAATTAATTAAAGACCAGGGGGATACCACTGCTGCCCTTGTGGCAGGTTGGGACACCCTTATGGGTCCTCACTCACAAGCTGAAGGTGGCCATGCGAGGACCACTTGCTCAGGCAGATTAAGGCTGCAGCAACCAAGACTGCTGTTTGGGGTTTGGCTCAGCAGGGGGTGATGCAGTACAAGGAAAGCAGCAGTCAGAACAAATGCAGAAACCGAGACCTTGCGTGCTGCCATGTGAATTCTCTGCAGGCAACTTCATGCAGCACATCTTCCGTCCACCTGAACGATTCTCCTGGGTGGATGCTCACATGGACAAGAGTAATGTTATTGACAGCAGAACTGCAGATTCAGCAGCTCCTCTGACTGCAGTGCTTTCAAAGCCATGACCAAGGAAATTGCTCCAGATTTGGCAAGGGTGACCACTTTTGAACTGCCAGATGAGAGGAAATTCCTTCTCAGAAAAGAGAAAAAGAGGACACTGATCTGCATAACATTTACATATCCCAATGTATTTGTATAGATAATAATTTAGAAATAATAATTATAATGAGCCGCCCCGAGGCTTTGTTGCCATGGGGGTGGCATAGAAATGTTTTAAATAAATAAATAAATAAAATGATGTAGAAACGTAGTCTATGTCACCATAATGTTGGGCTGTGTTCAGGTGTCCTGAGTGCCTCTCTATTCACTCTGCTTTCAGTGTGCTAATTTGTTGATGGGAAACTCAGGAACTTTGGAGGCTGCCAAATACTGAATCCGACCACAGATCTGTCCAGCCCACTGACCAGTAGCAAACATCCAGAATTTCAGGCTGACTTGATGCCACGGATAGAAGCTGGGACCTTCTGCATTCAAAGTCCATGCAGCATCTCAGTTCTTTCCTCTTAGGGTTTCTTTTGAATAGGTGGAATATGCAGCCCTTCAGGTACAGCAGATTGGCTCAGTGAGAGCAAAAATGGCTGCCTGACCTCCCACAGGCATGTACCACTTGGGTGGCCATGTGTGCTCTTTTTCAAGTCCAGTTCTCTATTTGAAGGGGTGCCAAAAGACTGTTCTCTGTTCTGAAGGCATCATCTCCTTGAATCCCAGTTGAATGGTACAGTCTCCTGAGGAGATGGAGCCAGCAGGGCCATCAAGCTACCCACCAAGAGGTGGCATCTGGGGACACACACTAAACAAGCCACATAGGTCACCTGGCCCCGATCCCTGCCCCACTATGGTGACGCATACTGTGTTTATGCTTGCATGAGACTCCTTCTCAAACTTGCATCTGTACATGTAAATTAGCATATGAAAATTGTATGCAACTAGTTGACATTATATTTACCAGTTTGAGGGTGGTGATAGATTTTCTTTCTTTTGGCAATTTAGTGGCCACCTTATTAGGCACTGAACCTGGAATCTTCTGTATGAAATCATGATCTTCCACCACTGAGCTAGAGCCCTTCTCCTGAAGATATGCCACACCAAGCCAAATGCAGCCTACTGTCCATCAAGATCCGATGAAACTGTTCATGTTGTTTGC